ACCTGGTCTAGGGGAAGGTGTCCCTGCCCATGGCAGGGGGGTTGGAACTAGATGGTCTTTAAGGTCCCTTCCAACCCAAACCATTCTGTGATGCTATGTTAGGATTTCTCTTCTGCTGACATGATGCTCTTTGTTATGTGACATTACACCTGTTAATAAATGACACATTAAACTATTAATAATTTTGCTACAAGTCCTGATTTCTCTTTCTTTTATAAAGTTTAGCTCAACTCTCTGAAGTCAGGCTACTGGAAGAAAACATGTGAAAGCTATTTAAGTAACTAAAATGTTTAGCACTCTGGGGAAAGTCAATTTTACATAAAACCTAGAATTGCCTTCTTCCCTTTTTGTAAGACACTAATTTCCACGTTGCTGCTGGCACTGAACGTGGGGTCGTGAATTGTTGAGAGCTCAGCCCTTACAGAGGTGCGGTGCAGCTCTTCTTGCAGCCCACGTGCTGGCAGAGGCGTGAGGTTCACCACCGTTCGATGTCGTGAGATGAGGTTTTGGTTTCTACAGTCTCATTCCCCTTCGGTTTTAAACCTGCGAAACGCGCAGGAAGAAGCCTAATGGGAAAGAGGACAATCGAAGTCCTAATGCCCCGTTCGTCTGTGTGGTTCAGTAATTTATAAGAATGTGCTTCAAGCGTTACGCCGTTAGGAGTAGCTGGTTACGCTGACTGTTGTAGAAGGTGTTTCTGCGGTGCAGCTGGAGGCTGTTACGTGTCACCTGGCTCCGCAGTGCTCACCCGCCTGTTGCTCAAACCAGTTCAAGTGTCAGACTCATCCCGTTTCACCAGCTGGAAAGGAAAGGGCCCGTCTGGCTACATAAAAGCTTCAGTCTGGTTCATGCCGATGCAGTCAGATGGGATGGGGTTCCTACGGGATCACTGCCGGCACACTTGATGGCTCAGCTACGGGTTGGAGTTGAGCTTCCTGCCGAGCGTGTCAGACCCGCGATGCTTCCTGCCAATAGCAACCCGCCGCAGGTTTCTACGGACAAAGCGGCATTCCAACTTGCCGTGCCCATCCCATGCCGGTGAGGGGGGTTTTCCTCTTAAAATCGCTCCAAATACAGCAAAAGGCGGCCCTGGGTTCGCAGAGGAGGAATGCCTGCTCCAGTGAGCACAGGCATGGCAAAAACTGTTACTGCAATCGCACTAATGATTGACTCCTTGGATACCGCCACTCTCCAGGAACTTCTGCTGCCGCTCCTTGGTCCAGTGCCCTTTGCGCTTTGTTCACGGGTCGAAGTTTCATATGGAACATGTACACCCGTTGGGCAAGAGGTTTGAAAAACTCACTGTCTTCCTTTCACAAAGGGGTGGTCCAGCAGCTGCAGAGCAGAAGGGCGTTCGTGCTGGTCTCTGCATCAAGGGTTTGAAAAGTCAGTACAGCGAATGAATACACGTGCCCGTGATGTCATCGCTCGTAAAGTCTAAACGCAAACTTAGCCTTTTTGTTCCCCCATTTCTCTATTCATTCATAGAATCATAGAATGGTTAGGCCTTTTTATAAAGCTGCTAGAAAGGAGGGCAGGATTTGTGGGAAGAGTCTGTTAGAATTTATAAATTACAAACCCAAAATACTTTATTATTACGGAAATCAGTCTTTGTTTTTCTAAATTCCTTGCAAAATTTTAAATAATTCTGCTCCCGCAGCTGTTTCAGGTGCACCAATAAGGTATGTAAGGAGGGTGACAAGTGTTTGTTTGATCCTGTGTCAGTCAGGCCGTTCTGTCATCTCCGATCAACATCATGCAAGTTAAGGAGCCCATATGGAATTGCAGTACCGCAATTACAAAATTGGCTCACTACAGCCAGGGGTTTGGGTCTTTTTCAACCCCCAGTGTGAAGAAAAGAACAGGGGAAGGAGTAAAGGACAGTAATTTCTTAATTTATAAACTAATGGGGAAGATGGGACACGAAGATGCTCCGAGGGCTGGAGCACCTCTCCTATGACGAAAGGCTGTGAGAACTGGGCTTGTTCAGCCTGGAGAAGAGGAGGCTCCGAGGAGACCTCATTGCAGCTTTCCAGTATCTGAAGGGGGCCTACAAGGGTACTGGGAGAGGACTTTTTACAAGAGCCTGTAGTGATAGGACAAGGGGTAATGGGTACAAATTGAAATCAGGGAGGTTTAGATTAGATGTCAGGAAGAAATTCTTCACAGAGAGGGTGGTGAGGCACTGGAACAGGTTACCCAGAGAAGCTGTGGATGCCCCATCCCTGGATGTCTTCAAGGCCAGGCTGGATGTGGCTTTGAGCAACCTGGTCTAGTGGAAGGTGTCCCTGCCCATGGCAGGGGGGTTGGAACTGGATGATCTTTAAGGTCCCTTCCAACCCAAACCATTCTATGATTCTATGATAAAGGAGGCCTTTATATTTCGGACATGGTGAGGTCATACATTAAATGTTTGCCACCACAGGTGCATCCTGACTTTTGAAGAGTTAAATACTTCATCTGGAAAGGTCAATGTTTTATATGTGTCTGCCTGCCTCGACCTAACAGCTGAGTCCACCTTTTAAACACGGTTCTCTCTGAATCCAAGTGTGTACAATGGCGCTGAAAACAGCCCACGCGTTTCCTGGTTATTATTACATGCTCCACAGGAACTGTAACCACATCATAACAATTCCAATCCAGGGATTAGAAAGCAGGGTTTCTGCCCCCAAGACCACTGCTGCACCCACTAAATCACACTCTGTAGTGCCCAAATCTGGTCGTTAGCGATAAAAGGCTGCCATTAATTTTATAAAGACTACCTATAGAGGTCAGGAAATTGGCTCTTGAAACTGATAGCCCATTTCAACATCTGGGACAAAGCTGATATTTAAAACAAACACCACAAAAATAATTCTTCTAATGGATGAATGCTCATCGTTTGTTTTTTTTATTTTTATAGAGAGAACTTTATGTTTCCAGTAAATATGTATTTCCCAGACTGGCAGGGCTAATAGATGTCTCTACTGCAGAAGATAAGAACTAAGTGAAAGCTCTTTCATTTACAGTATTGTCCTCAAAACAACTTGCCTGACATACGCCAGACTCAGCCCATGTGATGTTGGCACATCAAAGAAATATGCCACACAGTTTTTCTACAACTCAGTGTTTGTCTATGAAAATTACAGGGGAAGTAAATGATGAGTACAAGGCCTACAGAAAGATAATCTGTGAGGTGGGTTTACTCCATTATAGAGTAAAGCTCTTTACCTATACTACCATTTAAAGGCTTTCCTGAAAGGTTGAAAGCCCTATGCACCTACAGCACCGTCAGATGTCCTCTATCAGCAGTAACTCATCAACAAACTCTATGCTACAAACTATTGGCATTTTTCCTTCCATTTTTCAGTTAAAGCCCCGCATACCTGGTTAAGCAGGCGTGCACAAAATCCACTGCTGTGCTGGAGAACCGATCGGGTAGGGAAGGCATCAGCCCTCGGTGGGCCCCAATGTAGAACATGGCCGCGATCCTGTCCATGGAAGCCAGTGGCGGTTTTCCTGTTGCCATCTCAAATACAGTGCAGCCAACGCTCCAGATGTCTGACTTTCTTCCGTACCCAGATTCATTTATGACTTCTGGTGCCATCCAGTAGGGCGTCCCATGCACAGACTTGAGCATCTCGCTCTGCGTGCCACTGAGGCTTACCCAAGCTAAACGCCTGGCACAGCCAAAGTCAATTAGCTTTACTATCCCATTTGGCATCAGCATGACATTATTGCCTTTGATATCTCTGTGTACCACGCAGTTGTCGTGTAAATATGCAACCCCTTGGAGAATTTGTTTGGTGTATTTACAAAGGACAATTTCTGGCAACGGACCAAACCGAAGAAGAATACTAGAAATTGAGCCACCAGGAACAAACTCCATGAAAATGCTTAAAATGTTGTCTTCCAGACAAGTTCCTAGGTAAGTCACAATATTGGTGTGCTTCAACGTCTTCAGAAGATCAACTTCCTCGTGAAACTTCTGATATTCCTTTGCTGTAGTGAGTTGATCGGATGTACCCAAAACCACCTGTTTTACAGCTATTAATTTTCCCTGGCTCGTCAGACCGCAGTATACCTACAACAAACCAGCATTTATTAAAATGAAACATGAAATAAACCTGAGTATTTACTTATTTTAAATCATATCTTTGTATTTATCACGTTTCACGTCTCATTGTATAATCCAAAATATTTATTTGAGAGGAGGACAACGGCAAGCTATAAGGTAAGATGAGCTCAGAGACAACCAGCGCATCTCTTCGCATACTCGGACAATAACTCACCGTGCCGTAGGCTCCCTTTCCAAGGACTTCACCTCTTGTCCACATGATAGGATTTTCGTCAGTTAAGCTGCTTCCTGGTAATTTGGTAGACTCCTCAAAGTTTAGCAGGTCACTTCCTTGACTGGATGCCAAAAAGGCTTGACTGTAACTCTGCTGGAAAGATGATGCTCAGTGCGGGGAGAAAGCAAGGAGGAAAAGAGAAGCTTCATATTATCCTTACATTTTTATAAGGAGTAACTTTTACCTGGCACGACTCTTCTCTAGAGATTCATATATACTCATTGCCCAGCTCATCGACACAATTGCTGTAGCAAGACTATGTACATATTTTCAAGTATATATCCCAGTAGTGCATAACCCAACAATTACAGCACGACATCTTTTCACTGACAGGCAGACAGACAGCAGGAACACATGAGAGAGCAGGATATACATCTGCTGACTACTCCTTTTTTTGTCACACAAAAGGTACAGTTTGCTAAGCCGAAGGGTGAATATGACTATTGCCCTGCTCTAGGGAACATCTGTAACCCAAGTCTGGTGAAAACAATTTGGAGAGGGTTTCACAGGAAGGCACTGCTTCACAAAGATGGTAATAATTACTCCCTCTAGCCATGGATCTCCCAAGGGCTGAGAATGGAGGTGTAATTGGCATCTCTGGCTGCAGAAGCGTAAGGAAGTGTATCAACAGGTGGCATAAGAAATTTCCTTAGAAATGTGTAATTTAAATAGACAAAAAGCTAACGGGACCAAGGAGAAGTAGTACTTAGTAGGTGAAGGTTTCTAACTGACTTGAGGGCCAGAATTTAAGCCTTCTGAGCTTGAAGTTTTGATGAAACATTAATTAAACAGCCTTAAGTCAGTCTAAAAACCCAATCCTTCTATTTCATACCTAGAAAAGTCTCCAGTTGCACTCTGAGGTTCAAGGAAATTGCCCTTTTGGATATACAAGAAACATTTGTAGCATCTTTTCACATTCCTTAAGTTTCAAGATCTCAAGAGCTTTTGCCTTGCCCCAGCACCCTTTTGTACAAACTCTTCAGTTAAAACAGCCTCTCCATTTTATTCACTACAATTTCTCTTGACCCATCATATAAGGCTCCATAGCTATTCCTGTCATGACTTAGTGCCACCTGGCTTGTGTCCTGACATGCAGCCTCTAACATGAGCTCCTCAACTGAGCACTGGAAGAATCGGAAAAGAGATTTGATCGGTAATGAGCACATAGGTCCTGTCTTTCACCCAAACGTGTGTTGAAGCATCACCCAAAGGAGCTAGCAAATTACAAGAAATTAATTTTACCTTCTCTAGAGCACTATTTAATATTGCTCCATCTCCATTCATCCTATTGTCTTCTTCTTTAGTATGTGTATTTTGCATTTTAGAATCTGTACATTTTGTTCTTGAAGAGTTGATGCCCTTTTCTTCAAGCATTAGCAGTTCTTCGGCCACATAACAAAGCGACTCATCGCTCATATCCTTATTATCTGCCCAGGACAAAATGGTTTGACTTGGCTGGAAATTGGGGCTTGTAACATTTTTTGTCCCAATCACTGTCGGCTGACTCAATTCATTTGCCAAACCACTGTTTTGAGGGGTGTATGCCCAACTGCGGTTTGATTTTTCCATAGGAGACTGACACTCCAGTTCATCAGAAAAGGACAATGCCTCACTTGTATTTATCGGCTGGATGGAGGTCTGGTCTGATCCCAGGCCGTTGCGGCCATCCCTATCCACGCTGCTCTGGGATACGCCAGTGTCCCGGTCTGCTGTTGGCAGACTGCCACTTAGAGCAACATGTTCCCTGTAGCCTTTATCACTGGACTGAAGAAGACCCTGGCTAGAGGTAGCAGCAATCTGATGATTGGATATATCCTGACTGTCTGAAGACTGCTCCCAAGAGACTTCTTTAATAGTTGCTAAGTTGGAATTTGAAAAAATTTTATTTTGCTGAGTTAATTGTGAAAGGCCTTCCGAAAACGTAAGCTGATGAGCGGTGCCTTCATGAGACGATGTCATGCTGCTCGAAGCGTTTATCTGACAGTCTGAATCAGAAGTGGGTACGTTATCTTGCTCTGTGTTGCTCTCACTCAACTCGGTACTCCCGTCCTTTGCAGTCAAAGCTTTCTGCTTGTGCTTAGTGCCGGGTGTGCGCTTCCTTGGCTTAGAATACGTTCTCTTTTGAGTATTGCTGACTCGGCTGCTCTCTCCCCTTTTACGGGAGATAGATCTGCAGGTGCCAGCAGTGCATCTCCCAGGTGGAGCAGAAGAAACATCTCTACAAAAACTGTTCTCATGTCGATCAAGCTCATGCCCGTGGGAATAGACAGGAGTTCCAAACATTTCGTAAATACCTGGACCTTTGTCATTTGGATTTATCTTCTTGAACATGTCACTGTATTTCAGATCTACAAAAACTGAAGCAGGCCGTGCATGTGGTAGAGAAAGCGCAGTAACGGGCTTCTTTAAGATCACTGAATTCTTGCAACTGCAGGAGAAACTTTCCTTTTTAAGTTTCTGAGCAGCCTGAGCAAAATGGTATTTGTCTGCTTGAGGGGTCTTTTTTTGACGCTTCAGGGAAGTGCCAGACTCCACATGTGACAGTTCCAAAGATGGAAAAGTCTGACTCTTGGCATTACATTTTGTGGAAATCTCATCAGAAACGACTAAGTCTTCAGATCTCATTTTAGATTTCGATGAATATTTATTTCTCTTCATCTTTATTTTATTTTTGTCATTTTCTTTGCAAGCAAGAATGTTGAAGCTCTGAGTAACATGAGGAGGCAGGCTACGAATGACAGTCTTCTTTGTAGCAGGTTGTTTAAAAACATGTGATTCCTTAGCTGGTTCTTGTTCAGAGAATGTAGCATGAACAAGAGGTACAAGCTCACTACCGTGTTTTGAAGTTGCTTCTGACGCTTCTTTTTCCTTTTCAGACACAGAGAGACAAACAGCATTTTCTGTCTGTTTTCTAGAAGGATCTTGCACTTGTGCTCCAGGAATTACTGCAGATACAGCATTATCTTCAAAGGCATGGTAGGCCTCTATCACTTCATTTTTACAGGCGGAATCTAAATCGTGGTTGTCAAGCACAAAGTTCGCACCCTCAGCATCTTCATGTGGTCTGTAATCCAGTATCATCTCTGTAGCATTTCCCTCCTCTAGCCCAGTTCTGCAGGAGCTGTCTGCTCCTCTTCCCTTACTGCCAGCTCCCAAGGCGTCTCTGTTGCTTGACACTGATGCTTTACATCTCTGAGCTGTAACTATCCCCGAGTTTAGCAGAGCATTACTCGCGCTTGAGTAGGGTTGGCTGTCATCATACAAACTGCCTTGGGTCGTAAGATCTCTGTTCTTACAAGCCACCGAGAAGTGGCACTTCATCCGGTTACTCTTTTCAGTATTGGCAGCGACATCAGCTTCCTTCCATTTTAAATTCTTTTGAATTCCTTCTTTCTTGTTGCTAGGGTACATATCATAGTTACTCATGCTGAAGTAGTACAGTTCTTTTGCTGGAGTGAACTGATCAGAAATGGTGGCCATGATCAGGTCTGATGACGTTTCAGTGTGCCTTTTGAAAAGATTGTCTAATTGGTACTGACAAAATTTTGTAACTGGTGTTAGAGGCTGAGAAACAGAGTTCATAATATCCAAAATATTCCTGATGTTGGTGCTTTCATTGGCAATATGATCCTCTAGAGCAGCAAGATGAATTGTTCTTACAGGCAGAAATGTCACTGGTGGCAAATGAAACTATAATTTCCATAAAGACCATTAATAACATGCTGCACAACAGAAACAGGTAAAATCCAAACACTAAGAACCAAGTAGACTAAGAAAGAATAATCAGAAGAGGATTATTCTTTTGTATATTCCCACATTTAACCTAATATGAAGTGTAATATCACAATCCTGAGAAAATACATGAATTTTCTCACATCCATACATGAATTTTCTCAGCTCCAGAATTATTTCTAAGTATTTCATAGTACAGAAAGTGGGATCTTTTGCTATAAAGCACAAGACATTCTCCAAGATTAAAAAGTCGTAAGCTTTGTCCACACATACAAACAATCTTGTCGGTCAGTAACTATGTCTCATGCCATATCGCATGTTTGCTACAGGAATTCAGAGGCTGGTCAGTGGCTTCACGTGCCAAAGTTTCTCTCTTTCTGTGTGCTCCCACCGAATGAAAGCACTGCTCTCATGCTGGTATTTAAAGACTTTTTATGTCATCCCCCAAAGTATGCTGGCACCTGAAACTATATTCCCAATGGCACTAGATCTCATGTAAGCAATTTTTAAAAAGCAAGAGGTAGTATATTATAACAGAATGTTATCTGTGGAGAAAACAATTCTTACAAATTATAAGTTTTGAAAGACATTACCGTAAATCTAAACAAATAGCTCTTGCATGTTTAGTGTAGTTTTACAAAATTCCCTAAACCATGTTATATGGGCCACAGATTTAGCTCATGGGGTTTTAAGTACATTGGAAGACAGCACAGTCTGCACTGCACTTCCAATGAAGTTGAACAGATAGCTAGCCAAACGCCATTTTTATATGGCAGCTGATACAGAATTTGGGATTGGGGGAGAGGGAATATGTTTTATTATTTCTTCCTTCTTCCTTCTCTTTCTATCCAATTAGTTGAAAGGTACTGTGTATCTTTGAAAGAGTACAGATTTGAGAATTTGCGTCCTTTATTGTGATTATTCAGATGAATAGTGAGAAGAATTTTCTGAAAATAATATTTCTATTCTGTGTTTTATAGGAAATGGATTAAAAATATGCTTGAATATGCTGCATATTTTTATGCAAATGAATGCAATAGAAACAATCACACAACCATATGCTCTGACTTCTCATTTGCATGTCTGTATTCAACATTAGTTTGCAATCTGCAGGAAATTTTTGTTTGCATTCCAAGGGCAAACTGAGGTATGAATGTGCCAGGAAAAGCAATGCAGGCTGGTTCCAAATTTACAGTTCTAAAGGCCTAGTCTGCATGGCTTTAATATGAACACTCAGTTTGTCCCAAATGATAGGCCTCTAGAAATCTCAAAGCATGAAATAAAGCTGTATTAAATCACACTGAGGTCAGCTGAATTATTTTCTTAAAACATTTCTCTCCATTTGAAATGCTTTTTCCATAGCTCTTTTTGTGATCTTCTGTCAGAATTCCTGCTATTCTATACTTCACTTTTTCCTGTGAACGCTGCTGTTCTGTAGTAGGTCCACTAAGGTACACAGCTGATTCAGTAAGTCAAGTCTTTTGTACAAAGGGCTATTAATTAATATCCATAAAGACTAAATTTTCCTTTTTCTAGACACAGTGTATTTGATCTTTTGTAACCTTTAAGGCTCCTGTGCTGTGAAGCACTGACACACGTCAAATTGTTGGCTTGTTTGTAAATACGAAAGTTTCGTCAGGGATCCTATTTATACCCTTATTTATAAGGGTATATTATTTATACAAAATTTCCTTATTTATACAAAATTTCATGTCAAATATGTTTAATCCTAAGACTTTATTTGTATTTGCTAACGTAATAAATTTCAGCAATCATCTAATATGAAAGCTGTTCTTCAATTCGATGTCAATTTTAAATTAATACTCAACACAAGAACATTTGTGTGGTTTTAAAATTTGGCCAAACCAGACATCTAAAATGTTTAACACATCGGATGCACATACTTTAAATTAACTTACAGAGTTGTATTTTAAATAGTTTTATATCTTTTTGGACTTCCAGCCCTTTACCCCCCAAAATCCCTGATGTAACACCTTACTGACAGTTTGCTGATACACATCTGGAGATTTGCTCACACACACACACATAAAATATATGCGGAAATATTTCATCTTCATCCAAAAAAAAATGAAGACTAAGCAGAAAAACTACCTACACTTCTTCTGTATTTCTACCCTTAGAGTTTGTAAAGCATATAATTCTTCTAACAGTGTTCAGTATTACACATAGTACTGTCTTACCTCAGATCTCTTGCTCATGGCTTTTAGCATTGTTATATTCAACCCTTAAAAATCAAAACAAAGGAAATGTTAATTTGATATTCTTAAACCAACTACAATTTTCATTTATCCATTAATTTCAAACTGTAGGGTTCTGGGGATCAAGAATCTGTCTGTTGTGGGATTGCAGGACTATACTATAAATCTGCTATGCAGAAAAAAGTCCTAAGTTGAAATTGAATTGTGATGCTGAACTTTACAACTCCATTTTCTATAGAAAATTGTAACATATGATAATTTTAAAAGAGCAAGAGGAATGATGAAGTTTGCCATAGCTTCCAATTATCTCCTTCATTCTGCAAATACACACACTATAATTAAAGAGGATCAACATGGCTGGAGTCTGCTTTATGTGAAAAAGTCAAACAGACATAAAGACAACTTCAGGTTTAAAGAAAAAAGACTTCTAAGGTTCTGCCATCTAATTTGATAGCAATATATAACTGTGACTTTTAAAACTGAACGTACTTTGTTGTATTTGTGCTTTTATTGTCCGAAAAGCATCTAAATCCATAAATGATTTTGCAAAGTTGGATTCTGGGCACGAGGCCTGTAGCAGAAAGCTGAAGTCAAAGCCATGCCCTACATTCTCTTTCTTCAGGAAGAAAGGTAAAGAAGTGTGATGTCTCCTCTGTAATGCCAACCCATTTTCACTTGGAAAACCTGCCACTTGTTGATCTGGCCACGGTCTGGATGTTGGTGCTGTTTGGCTAAAAGGCAAAAACAAAATAGAGCATGAAAATAAGTGGAAGGAGCCTGCTCAGTTCAAATAATCACATGACTGGAGAATAATGTGAATAAGAAGTCTGTAAGCTCCAAGAATGCCAAAGTATGTTTTCTTTCCTGGTCCATCTGGGAAGCTGTGACTCTCCCTGGAAGCATCCAGTGGCAATGCCAGAGATCGACTGCACGTGAGAATAAATGACAAACCACGTAAACCAAGCAACAATAGGGATGGAGAAACATATTGCACACCTTCGCCTTCTTGACAAAAAGTGATTGCTTCCAGTATGTATACGTTATAAATCATCAGGAAAGGGTGTCAGAAGAACACTAAAGACCAGATGTGCCTTTGTGATTTGTAAAATATGCTACAGCATGCCTGAAAGAATAAAGGCTGTGTGGACAAGCCTCAGATTTCTACCACCTGGTTTATGAAGAATCAAAAAATCCAAATATGGAAAAAGATGAATACTGTGACTGAAAAAAGGTACAAAAATATCGTCTAAATTAATCTTCAAGTTGTATGCAAGATAATTGTCTGTTTTTAATGAAGTCAAATGCTGATGTAGAACCATATGCCATATGTTTCTCCTATCATACCAAATAATTTGTTCATCCAGTGCAATATCCCGCCTCCAGCAACAGCCAGTAATTGACGCTGGGAAGACAGAAAGGCTAACAACATATACAGTTGCATATAACGTCCGACACTTCTAACTCATAGACCACTGCCTGCTTTGTCCCCAGTTCTGCGTACCCAACTGCAGGTTAGATATTAATACTACTTACCTGTTTTTTCCGAGAGCTTTGTATGACAGATGCATTTCTTTCATTATCTTATCTGCACTCTGAAGAGCAACAAGACTTCCCCAACCTGCAACAATATATTAGTATGTGCATAAAAGCAGTATAATTCACTGACCAGTAACACAAAGCAAACACAGGGGTTTGGGGGCATTAAAATATCATTATACAGAAATACAGGAAGTGACTGTCAGAAAAAAAGGGCATGTTTAATTTGACTAAAATACCTATACATGTTTTCTGTTATAATTTTTGGAAATGTGAATGCATAAACCTAAATGATTTTTAGTTATTTAGATAAGTGTATTAATTCAATATACTATAAAAGCAAAGAAATCTGAAAAAAATCCAGTTACAGCTCCTATTACAGCAGAACAGAAATATAGCAAAAATACTGACAGAAACTCCACAAACTAGAGCATTTTAAAATAGGGAAGGTATTGGGACCAAAACAAATCTCAGGGCTCTTCAGAGGTGGGAAAAAACTCTGAGTTGGATTTCAATATTTTTTGTGGTACTTGGTTTTGACCAGCAGCTAGATTTCAAGTTAACATTGTGCTTTTTCTTCTTCAGGTCCCACATGTTACACTTTATATGCATAAACTTTGGTTAGACTACCTTTTGTGCACCTCCTCTTACTTTGCTGGTTGTCAGACATACTTTCTTAGACGTATTAAGGTCCTGAAACGTGAAAAAATGTTTCATTAATTGATCTCTAATTCACATCTGCAAATCAGTACTTTATATTTCATTATTTCAGACCTGTGAGTAAGGCAAAACCAACATCTTAAAAGTACTTCAAATTATTAAAAATATCATGATTTAGCCTAACCTCCAATGCCCTGTCCTGGGAATACCCAGACCCAAACAGTGCAGGCACAGATTTTAGTGCTGCAAATGCAACATATGCTGTGTGGAGTAAGACAAGAAAGATGTCAGCATTATTTTGCTGATAACAACCTTACTGCTAAAAGAAAATCAGCACTTCACATTTGGGGGACAAATGCATTTGTAACGTATCACTGAGAAACCAGATCTGAACTAAATGTTTTGCTTTGTCTACTTGATCAAAAACTATCTCAGCAGAAGTTCAACATCCAAAACTTCCTGAGCACACAGTAATTTGTACACTGCAGCCTCAACAAATCTCTTCGGTAGCTTGTTCTAAAGAAACGTGAAGTCAACTAGAATCTCCATAAACTTCAGAGAAATATGTAATTTACTTCGTAAGTAATTTTTGAGTATCTTGAGAAGGTAATACAAACAATCTAGTTTTAAACCTATGTTCAGAGCTTAGCTGGGCATGTTTCTCCATACAGCCAGTGCATCCAGACTGATCTGGCTGAAAACAAAATTCTCACTGATACAACAAGGTATACATTTCACGCTTTATCTCAGACCCATTACAAATTCATAAATACATGAATGTATTACTTCTGAATATCTACAAAAATAAATTTTTAAGGTCTTCAAAAATTGTATACGTTATAAAAACTCATTATGTTATTGCCTTTTTTTTTTTGTTGCCATTGAATTGCTGTGACCTGTGCCAGGCACCGGAATGAGGCTGATATAACCAAGAGTCACTAGCCAAACAGTTAGCCTATTAACGTATCAGTAGTAAACATTTGTTTCTCACTTTAAACTATTGATTGTCAGAACAGTGTCTTACCCATGAGTGTACCTTTCTGTGAGCATCTTAGTACCTCTGTATGTTTACAGAAAAAGATTATTTAAATTGTACTGTGCTTATAAAACCAAAACACCTTAAAGCTTACATTAAATTAGTATTACAAACATTTGATATTTTAACTCCTGGTTGTTGAGAGACATAAGACTAGCTGAAGGAAATGAGTAACAGAGCCATTCCTGTACCATCTATAGTCTGGCACAGTAAACTGCTGGCCTCCTGTGAGGATATATGAGCTCTCTACACCTACATGAGAGGCTTAGAAGAAATTTCCATCAGGATTCCCACATAACACTTTTATTTTTAAGATTGCTTTCAGAAATAAAACACAGTATGTATTTTGAATTAATTACACTGGTCATTTAAATCTTTCTGTCTGCTGTGTCTGTGTTCCTAACGGTAGCTGATCTGAAAGGTGTTTCTGAAGAAAATGGTATCTTCTGATTAAGAAATTAAAGCTGGTAGTTGGTTAGAAACGCAGAAAAGATAAAAATAGATTGAGTGCCTCCCCACACTTTTAATTGGAAATGCCACCATTGCCATTTTAAGTTTTAATTTTGCTTCTTATGACCATTACCCTATGCTATATCACCCCCAAAGCATTACTGAATTCCCCCATAGGAACAAGCCCTCCCCAGACACTGGTATTTCCAGACAAAGACGCTTTTATTAAGCTTTACACTTAATAAGAGGATTGTAGTGGAACTTTCTCACAACTAGTCAGCAACAGCTGTGGCAAAAGGGGCTAGCTGTCACCCTGCTGGTTAATATACCTGTGTGTGGGCAATATTGGTCCTGTTTACAGTTTACACTATTCCTGCCTATGGTGAGTAAGCACACCGTGAGCTGTTCACCTTTAGGAAAACACCAACCCTCTTTTCTAAGATTAAACTGGAAGATTAACATCACCATAAGCTGAGAGTGACAAAACCAACACAGAACAAACACAAATTGCAGACTTAAAGAAGAAACATGAGCATGTAGATTCGAAGGATATGAAGATTTGGAATTTTAATTGGCTAATTCTTTAAATTAATCTCAATTAATAGTTTTGATGGATTTGGGGCTCTTTCTGAAAGTCATAGTGAATTTCTGTTTCTCAAGTGACAATAACATATAATGTAATTAAAGACAGAGAATTGAAATGAATAAAAGAAAATGCAATCACGAATACTAGCTAATACCTGTATGAAAATGTTCCCAATGCCTTTATTATTTAGTAGATAACTTACAGTTCTAAAAAAACCCATAAAATATGTAAGATACTGTCAGATATCTTACATATATGAATGTACACTGATGAATATGAATATATATTTAAATATATACAAATAACAGCATGAAATTCTTACATTGGGTAACTCTGGGTGCTAGAGAGGAATATTATGAAGTCCATAACAGAAAATTATGTGATAATAATATGTCTACAGGATTTTTTTTCCTACTAGCTAATCAAAAAGTATGTGCAAAACATGGCAATTGATAACTTTTACATATGTAAGTTCTTGCTAATAATATTGAACGGCGTCTAACATTTCATGTACCAGAAACATCCTTCTGTTGTACCAACATAACTGATACAATGCGGCAGTGGGTCCCCCTGTTTAAGAAACATGTTACCTCCCTTTAAAGCCACTTTCACAAAAAAGTTTCCATTTTCTTGCAATTCCATCTTCAGTCTAATTTGCTGCCATATATTCTCCCCTCACACAAAAATATTGCATAACCACCACATACATGCTACCAAATTAAGCTGGTTTAGAACTTAATTGGTATGGCAGCCTAAAGGAAAGGTATGGTTTCTAGAAAACTATGTTTATATTTATTATATCCATAGATAGGGATAACTATTAAAAATAGGGCACCTGGTGGCTCTTATGTTGCAAATTTCTTTACAAAATTTTATTTTCTCTCTGCTCTTTTCCTCACGTGTGTATTTTTACTTCATTGCTTGTCCTTACACCAGTCAACTGAATAAAACACTCTATTTTATACATCTTCCACACCTAGTCGTACATAAGATTTTCAACATTTTTAATAGATTTTATTGCAAGTCGTTCCTAACAACAATCTTAGGTACTACCCCTAGCAATGTTATTTGTGTTGTTTTGGAGTTCCCTCATAAATACCTATTCTTAATTTATTAAAAGATACCTATTTGTTTCCTTTGCAGCTGAGCTCAGGGCTCTCAGTAGTACTACTACTGACATTCGGCAGTTTTTCATACACAAAGTACCTCCAATGGTAAGGTGTATGCAACAGATGGAAAATAGCAATCAATGCAGCTGTCTGTCCGTAAGGAATCGCCCCTTTGCAAAGTCACTACAGCGGTCAGTGGAAACAAGGGGCCTATGTGGCTTTTGTTGGATTCAGCAGCATTTTGCCACTCAATACGGCTAGTCAAGAAAAGAACCAGGCTTTTGTTTCTGATTCTATTAGCAAAAAGTATAATTACTTGAAAGCATGCAGCAGCCTTCCAAGGGACTCACACATTTATACTAGATTAAATTACCTTTATAATAATAATTTCATATGACACTTCATCTGGGAATGTGCATTATTTTATAAATGGTAATACTAAGCTATGTAACAGCCTGACATCAGAAAATATGTTATTCTTGGTTTACAGAAGAGGAAATAAAGAGAACAGTTGTCTGACCTATAGCTACCTCTGAATGCCCTATAGCTGGTGGCCAAGGTCACCCAATACACTGTGCAAAAGTAGCCACAGAAGTCAGCACTCAATTTCTCATCTGTACGCTAAGCACCAGCTAACCCATTAAAATGTTTATCCCATTATATTAGACAGTTAAGGGTTATATTAGATGGTGAACTTCTTCACACACTGCATTTCTGGGGATACACAAAAAGTACTTCAAAGTAATAACTAGAAAGGTTGTATAAAGAGGCATAAACAGCATCTTACCTGGTGTTTCAGCAGCAAAGTGTGAAAGAGGCACAGCAACCCAAGGAGAAGCTACAGAGCATTTTCAGATCACAGCTGCCTTCCTTTGCTGGGCAGCAAGGAATCCAAGCAGCAGTTACATATACTTGGATTTTACTCCTGGCGTGTTTTTCTAACGTGTTTTTCATTACTTGTTGCTGAGGCAGGCTCGTCTGCGGGCAAATCCTCCCGGCAGCTCCAGCTACACGAGGCTGTTGAGTTTACACGATGTTGCCGAGGCAACACCCCCCCTCCCTCCCCGCCGGGGGGCATTTTGCTTGGAGGAGTTTAATTCGAAGGGCAGTAGTGACCTGGGAAAGCAAACACAGTTGAACCGGACGGCAGCATTTTAAGCTCTAATCACGAGACGGATCTTCCAGCACCCAAAGCAAAACATAGTTCTCTCTTCTGTTTACCTCCAGCTATGCTGTTAGTACCCTACCTGTTTCTATGGCATTTTAACTCTGTGGTCAGTCCCCTCACCTCAACACTCCCCACTCGATGCTCACGAATAGCTCTCTATCTCCTTTCAGGCAGCCTTATAGCAGACTTCAAGGATACTTTTCCTTTCTTTTTTCTTTATTAAAGCAGCAGACTACGCAAGTGGGGGGAAGAAGGGACAAGGGCGGTCTAGTGCCAAGTGCAACCCCCTGGGTTGGGGCAATCCCAAG